CAGAAGGATGTTATGTGGATGTATTTAACTAGCAGAAGGATGCTATGTGGACATATTTAACTAGAGGTAAGATGCTATGTGGACATATTTAACTAGCAGTAAGATGCTATGCGAACGTATTTAACTAGCGGTAAGGTGCTATGTGGATATATTTAACTAGTGGTAAATGCTATGTGGACACATTTAATTAGTGGAAGGATGCTATGTGAACATGTGATGCTATGTGGTTGTATTTAACTAGCAGTAAGATGCTATGTGGACATATCTAACCAACAGAAGGATGCCAAGTAGATGTATCTAACTAGCAAAAGGATGCTATGTGGATGTATTTGGCTAGCAGAAGGAGGCTATATGGACGTATTTAACTAGTCTTTGTCTGGAGCTTCAGAACAGACATCTCATGGGGCAAAAGCACTGGATTCAGCTCACATTCACTTCACTGCATCCCATCTACTCCCTGATGACTGGCAATTGCTTGGGGAATGAGTCGTCTACATGGCTGGTATTCTAGTGGTTGACAGAGTTACAAGGGTTTGAAGTGAAGTTTTTGTTATTATTGAAATTATTATTGTTGTTATAAGGTGTAAAATCATTTCTTAGCTCTGAGATGATGCTCTAAATTAAAAGAAAAATTTAAGAAGTCAAATAAGGAAAAAGTGAAAAAAAAAAAAACCCAGCCAATCAAAGCTTCAAACTGGATGTGGCCCTCTGAAATTTCTACCTCAAAGGGCAGGGATTCAGGCAACATGGCCTCATGTGCTCTACTCCCCTCAAGCCTCAGCATGGCATTTCCTTCCTTTCAGGAAGTCTCCTAGAATCAGAAAGCCCTTATGACCCTGCATGGAGGGCTGGAGTCAAGGCAACCCGGCAGCTTGTTTAATGTGGGCTCCTGGGAACCTGTCAAGTTCCCAGAAGTGCACTACTGACTGGTTAGGTATGAAAACAACACACCAGTGTTGTCACATCTACTAATTCCCGCCCCCACCCTGGGAAATACAAACCTTTGTAAAAATTATCCTCAAAAACAAAAACCACCAGGACGTAAAACAGGTATACAGGCTTCTAGAGTGTGAACTCTGACCGAGGGGCAGAGATGCGCTCAGGGGGCAGGAGAGTTATCACGGTTCGCTTGGCCATGGAGTGTCTGAGTTCTAGGGGCTATTGGGTCCTCTGGTCATGGGGCAGGGGAAAACCACCATCCTCAGGCTGCTTCCAGGCTCCAGGGAGCACCAGGGGCTCTTAAGTGTGTCAGGAAGCCTGAGGGAAGGGCCTCCTGGCGAAGCTGAGCCCCTAGGGCAGATGCACACCCTGAGTGGGCACTAAGGACTCCATGTCTGGGGATCTACGCTTATGCCAGGCTTATCTCAGGCCTGGAGGGAAGTATCGATTGCCAGGGGCTGTTGTCCTACTCTCAGGCTCTGGGAACAATTCAGTGGGTCCTCTTGTTAGTGTCACAGGCTGAGCGCCCCTGGGAACAGTCTTGGAGCCATGTGGGAGTTCCCAAGCTGAGCTTCTGCCTTGCTCCTGACCATATTCCTCCAGGTGCCTCTGGGACTTTAGGTCAGTGACATCCATCACCTTCTGCAGGCCGCTTTGTGACACTCTGCAGACTCACCCATCCTTGGTGACTTTCCCTCTACAACCCTGAGGCTTGGGGCAAATGGACCTCTTCCTAGCTATGATGTCAGGCATCGTTAGTTTAGGGGACTTGTCCTTTAGGGGACAAGGAACAGAGATCGTACCTAGATTGCTGACTCTGGGAAAGGGGTTCACCAGGGTTTGGGAGCTCTTCTCGAGTCACCTATTAGCTTCTCATTACAGTTTGGATATGATACGCCCCCTCAAGCGGCTCATGAGTAGAAGGCTTGGTCCACAGCTGATGAATCCAATCACTGAGACGTGACTGAAACATGAGGGTTCTGACCTAATCAATGGATCAAGGCACGGATAGACATATGTTCTGATGACATTACCAGAGGCTGCTGGAAACTAGAAAGTGGGACCTGATTGGAGGAAGTAGGCTCTGGGTGGTGGTGGTGGTGGTGGTGGTGTGTGTGTTGCTTTTGAAGGGTATATCTTGTATGTGGCCCTTTCCCATTTGTCTATGAACTGGATCCTCCGAAACTGTGAGCCAGAGTTCCCTCCCTCCCTTAAGCGTTTGTTTCAGGTGACTGTCACACGCACAAAGACGCGATCAACCTCCACAGTGGGCTCAGTCTTTGCTACCACCATTTGCCTGGGAAATTTCTCCAGTCTCACAGGAGCATTCCTGACTAGGATGAGTCTAGAAAACCCCACGGAGGTTGGGGCTCCCAGAGGGGCTCATGGAGCCCCAACCTTTCCCTTGGATCTAAAAGCAGCTAATGGTTGGTGAGGAAGGAAGGAAGATTTTTTTTTTTCAGTGATGTAGCCATTGGTAAATTTCCCATGCTCCTGTAAACGGACCTAATTAAACAGTCACACATGCACACACACAGAAGAAAAAAAGAAAGAAAGGAAGAAGAAAGAAAGAAAGAAAGAAAAAGCATGAGAGCAGGAGGAGGATCAGTTGTGATGAATAAGGGGATCAGCAGAAGGAGGGGCCAATAGAGGGTACCAAGGGATTAATATATTATATATATTAATCAAAATACATTATATATGTATACAATGTCATAATGGAACCCACTATTATGTATAATTAACATGTTAATAAGAATTTTTGAAAAAACGAAATGAGAAAGAACCAAAAGGCATCGGGGCCCCAGACCTCTGTCCAAACCTCTTCCAAGGGTTGTACCTTGTTGTGAGCCCCGTCTGCCCTGTCTTCTGGGAAGCAGAGGTGGGCGGAGCAGCCCTTGAGTTTCTGTAGCACGTCTGAGATGACAGCAGGGAGGACTGATGGTGAGTCCCTGTCACAAGGTGAGCATAGAACTCCTGACCCTTGCAGGTCCCAGCAGAGACAGGAGTGACAGCAGAGCTTCAGGCAGGTATGGTGAGCTTAAATATCCCTGGCAGGGAGTCAGATCTGATCAGTATGGGGCTCAGGCCTTAAGCAATGTTGGCCTGAGGTCAACCAAGACCCTACCACCTCCTCCCTGGGGACCAGAGAAGGAGGGGAGGTAAATGATAATGGTGACTGAGGTGCAGGGCGGTCAGGTGGGCGGAGTCAGGCCCCACGAAAATCCCAGCTGGCTCATGTGTATCACAGAAACACAGCTCAGCATCCTGCCTAGCTGGCCTGTGGGGTAGAAAGATAGAATGCAGTGGTTTTCCAGGGCTTTAGTATACCCACAATTCCAAGGTGCTAACTGTGCCGTTTTCATTTATGCATTGAATGAATCCCGACTATCACGATAGTCTGCTGGATAACACTTGTCTTAGAGATGGGCTCTCCATCTCAGACTAGGCAGATGTTCTCCCTCCCTGTCTCAGCCCTTGCCAAGAGGATGGAGAGGATTGGTGAGAGCTCGGGGGGAGGGGTCTGAAGTTCCTACCATCTTTTCCATTTTGTGCCCCTCAGATTTTGCATTTTGCCCCATTTTTGCTCCAACATTTACTCTCTGTTTCAATAAGACCTTACTCTGTTACCTAGAATATGGTCACTCCAGCCATCTTTGTTTTCAAGTCCCAGCATCCCCAAATGACTCTCATCCCCCTGTCTAGGTACCCAGGGGTACCCCATTCCAAAGGAGGGGCCATAAACACTGTTCTCATAGGTTTCACAAACTATAGTAACATCAAGTTCCTGCTTTGTAGCTCTGAAAGGTCCTTTGTTCATTCGTTTCCCTGCCTGACCTGTAAAATGATGGTTGTGGTTAATCCATTTGCTCAATAAATAAGTATTGAACAACCTGTTCTGTACAGGGCCCAACTGGATCTGTTATTTAGTGTTGGTTAAAAGACATGGCCTGGTGCCTGGCATGCACCAGGTTGTCAATAAATGCCGGTTTTCTTACACAAGTCTCGGTTCTGTAAGGAGAAATGGGTAATAGGTGGAGGTGGGAGAGGTGGGGACAGAGAAAAGGGAATTCAAGAGGGGGTGTGGAGGGCTATACCTGCTGCTTCTTGGATTCCCATCCCCTAGCCTCTTCCCGTGTTAACATGGCCTGGCTCTGTCTGTTGTTGTCTTTGAATGGTATGCCCAGCTTTCTGTCCCTGGTTTCTTCAAATCACCTCTTTTCAGCTTCATAGTTGGCCCCTTGTTCCCACCTCTAGACAACAGAGACAAGGTTCTTCCTTGCCCACAGGCATTCAAGGACACTGTGGTGTGCCTGTCCTACCGAGGCGGTGTCTGCTGGAGGAGCCTCCAGCCCTGAGGATGTGGTTCTGAATGGTTTCCTCACCAAACTGGCTCCCCTGGCTTCTGACATTTTCTTCTTCTAGGCATCCTGGCAAACACCTCTGACTTGTCAAGGCTGAAACTTCACATTCTTCATTCCTGTCCAGCTTCCAGACACCCCACAGGGGAGACTCTCACAGGGCAGAGAGGGAGCTAATGTGGGAGTGTATGCAGGTGCATGACTGTACATGTATGTACACATAAGCAACATGAGATCTGGCAACATCTTCAATGTTGGCTGACTGAATGAATACACAGTGGATGTTCCTGTTGCAAGTGGGGGGGCTCATTAATACATTTGACAAATATTTATCAAATCTATGATTCATTCAGTTTCAGGCTGAGACAGGGCCTCTGACATACAGGTTGACAGCAGCCAAGTTCTCCCCAAACAGAAGGTTCACCAGTCTCCTCCTTCCAACACATTTCTTACCTTCCGAGGCTCACGGGGTTCTTGGGCCTCCTAAAGTCTATCCTTATGCCAGGACATACTTGAGTGCCGAGAAGCTGCGTTTGGGGTTGAATACTGGGTTCCTAACTCACATTGCATGTCCTTTAGTTGGTGACTTGACTTCTCAGAACCTCAGTTTCCCCGTATGGGGAAAGTTAAAATGACATACCTTGGAATTTCTGTGAGCAAGGAATGATAAAAGGCACATGCTTACACAACCCCAGTGCATAGTATGTGCTCATTAAATGGAGTTATTTATTATGCTTAGCCACCTCTCTGGCTTGGATCCCTCCCACCTTGTCCAGAGCACCCACAGGACAAGAAAGTGCACGCAGCAGGTGGCAGGCGAAATCCTACTTCCCTGGAGCAGACCTCTCCCCAGGAGAGAGCCAGACACCAGCCAGGCCTGGAGGCAGGGAGGAGTAGGAGGCACCGCTGACTGGTGGAGGAGGGGCCCAGGATGGCTTTGTGTGCTCTAAGGATGGGAGCATAGGCTCTGACGGTCAGAATGCCTTTTCTCCCTGGGTGCGCAGGGTCTGGGTTTCAAGTCTTAAGCCCTTGGCAATCCTATCCCTCTGTCAGTGAGGTCTGGATCTGGTGAGCAGGCCAAAAGCTTTCTGGACCTTCACCACGGTAAACCTATATCTAAAGCCAGGACACACTCACTCTACACGCCCACCTGGGCACAGGCGGCTGAGGTTGTCTATGACCTAAGACAGTCATATGAACCTGGGTCAGAGGAGGGATTTAAGAAGGGAAAAAGAAATCCCTCACTCGGGACTCTCAGAGATCCTGGCCCTGGGCCTCTTTCTTCCCCTGTGAAATGAGAACTGTTCTGTAGGTTTCATCTCCATAATGGTTGCAAAGATGAGAAAAACAGTCTCAACACTGCTGAGGGAAAAACCAGTCTCAGAGGGAGAATGGGATGTATGGGAACTGTTCAGCTCATGGAGGCCAGGACCTTGCTGGCCCCCTGGCGTGAGCTAGCCCCAGCTGGCCACCACTGGACTTTAACACTGGTGGCTGCACCACACTGACTTTGAAGGGTTCTGTCTCACCTGAGGTGGGACAGGTTTCATCCTGTGATACTGTAGGTCTGCCGGAGTCTCCAGCCGTGCCCTCATATTCCCCCTAGACTAGCTTGGGATTCGTCCCCACTCTGGGATTACACAGCACCTCCCCAAGCAGGGACAGCAGGTGCTAGCAGATTCTAAGGCCCCTCCTGGTGGGTTGTGGTTTTGCATTAATAGAAATGTGTCCCAGGAAGGCCTCAGGACCCAAGCTTTCAGCAGTGAACCAACCTTACCCCTCTGCTCCAGGTGGGGTAATGAGTCACGCTGTGGCCATCTTCTGGCCTCAAGTTGTTTGTAGGGGCAAAGCCATGTGCATGTGATACTTCTGACTCAGGATGACTCCTGACCCCATGGAAATGGCTTCTACTTGGCCCCTCTACCCTGGAAGTCACTGGAGATGTGGGCTGGCCCACAGACCACAGTAGGCATGTAGTGCCTCCAAATTATCTCCAGCGTGTACACTCACCAATTACTGAATCCCTGTGCCAGCTATGGAGGTGGTAAAGACTATCAGACCCATTTTACAGCTGAAGTAGAAAGAGTCCAAGGGGCAAATGGATTTGCCCAAGGTGATATGGCTGCTGTATAACAGAGATGGGCATAGCCTGGAAACTCTTTGTTCTTAGGGGCAGGAAAGCAGAGGCTAGGTGACCTTAGGCCACTTACTTCACTTCTCTGAACCTCAGCCTTCTCATCTGAAAAATGGGGCAATAAGATAATGCTACATGGTGTATTCAGCACAGCGGCCTGCTCAATAATGGGGAACAGTGACTAAGGACATTTGGGTGCTGTTGCTGGGGGAGCACATTGCAGAGGAAGTTCTGTTGTTATTCAGGACGTATTAAGGAGAGCTAAGGGGTTGGAAGCTAAGGGGTTGGAGCTAAGAAGAAGGAGCCAGTTGGAGACACTGGGTCCCCTCTCCCCACCGCCTGCCTAGTGTTGATGGTCACGTACATCCGTATCTTGGTTCCCAGCTCTGTGATGGCTGCCATCACAAGCCACAAACCTTGGATCCGCTCAGAGAATTCTGAACTCCAGAGCTGAGACTGGGAGCTGAATCAGAGAGGATTGGGTTCTCAAATTTGCTCTGTGGCTGCCAGCCTCCCCCAGGGCATGGTATCCCTCTCAGTGTTTGGGGCAATCCTAAAATGCAGGGTGGGGGAGGGGTGTGAGGTGGGGCTGTCTCTCTATGGAGCTCTGCCTGAGCAGGAGGATGGAGTCCTTTTGGGTCCAGTCACGGTGATGCCAACCCTGGGTTTTAAGTTCTTATATCCCTGCCTTAGCTTGTCTCTAGGACATGGCCCAGGCCAGCAGTCACAGACCTCTGTGGTGCTGGGGACTTGCAGTGGCATGGCAGGGTTCAGCTCCCTTTAGGAACCCTGCCATATGAAGGAGAGGGTAAACTTTGGACATCTGATTGTTTTAGGATGAGCTTTCTTGAAGGCTTTGGGGCCTGTGGGCCCGGATCCTTAGTATTTATGAATTTTATTATGACTGTTTGTTTAAATATATATATATTTATAGCTCTATGCATTCCCCCCTCCCCAGCCCCTAGTTCTTGCCCTTGGCTTTCTGCTTGGTGGCCGTATAGGGCAGCACGGTCTGCGTGCTCTTGTCTGATACTGTCTGGGTGCTGCTGTTCCTTGTGACCCTCCGGGTCTGTTCTGGAGCCAACGTGGGGCCCAAGCGTCGGGTAGTCAACGGAGAGCGCCTGGTTTTGTGGGGGGCTGGGGAGGGCTTGAGGGGGCCTGTGTGTGGCTCCACATGGGGTAGCTCTGGGGTCAGGCCTGCCTCCTCCTCTACCTCCTCCTCCCCGTCCCCCTCTTCATCATCACAGCACAGAGCGTGGTAGAGCACTTTGTCACTGAATCGTACCCTTTCCCTCGTCCCTGGGGTCCGCTGGGGTACCTGACCCTTTGCAGGGCCAGCACTGAAGGCCTCTTCACTGGAGGAATCTGGCGTCTCCACTCGTGGCCCGTTGGGGATGGGCAAACCACCGTTCATGAGCTGGTAGTCAGGGCCTGCGCCTGGCCGCGGCGCCTCAGGGCCATCCACAGAGTCCGATGGGGTGGAGACGTCCAGGAAGGAACAGAACTCCCAGCTGTCTGAGAGGATATCAGCTGTCATGAAGTCCAGGTGGCCCATGTCAAAGGGGCCGCCCACACCCGCCTTGTCACTGCTGGAGGTGCTGCTCACAGTGGCCGTGGTCCAGTCGTCTGGCTCCAGGTCAAAGTCAAAGTCAGAGGTGAGCTTGTCGATCTGACTCACCACCTGGCCAGGGAAGGGAGAGGAGGTGAGAGGGGCTGGGGCTGGGGCTGGGGCTGGGGCTGGGGCTGGGTGTGCCTGTGCCTCTGCCCTGCCCTGGAGACCTCCTGGCAGGTGACTCTGGAAGATGGTGGCTGAACTGAAATCACAGGTTTGTTTGCACTGTTAAGAGCCCACATTAGGGCTGAGAAGATAGCTCGGTTGGTAAAGAGCTTGCTTTATAAGCATGAGGACTTGGGTTTGATTCCTAGAACCAATCTTAAAAAAAGAAAAAAAAAGCAGGACATGGTGGTGCATGCTTATAACCCTAGCCCCAGGGAAGTGGAGACAGGAGGATCCCTGGGGCTTTCTGGCCAGCCAGCCAAGCCTACTTGGCAAGTTCCAGGCCAGTGAGAGACTCAGTCTCAAACACACAAGGCCAAGTTGGACGAGGATGGACAGCTTGTGCTGTCCCCTGGAGGGAGGGGCACCGCCTTCCACCAGGCACCCTGTTCATTCACACATTCTTCTCTCTCAATACAGCTGCCGTTTGGAGTGAGGACAGTGTTGTGAACAGGGCTTCAACTTGTACTGATTGAGAGGGGGTCAGATAGAAGGGTGGAGGGACTCCAGCAAGCCTGGGGGCGGGGGGACCTCCCAGCTGTTGACTCTATAATGTGGTAGCTGGACCTGAAGTCAGGAGAGAAATGACAGGCTAGTCAGAAAGAAGACCCTGCCCAGCTTCACTAAAGCCTTCCAGACCCATCAGTTGGTGACTCACTCAGGAATCTCTTTCCAATCCTGGGGACTGGAACAACAGGTGTGCCGCACTGGCTGAGTCACCCTCCCTGGCTACCCTCAAGCTCTGGAACCCCCGCCTGCCTGCCTTGCCTTCCCTGCCCACTGATGAATGGAGAGCAATCTCAGCTTGTTGGGAAAAGGAAAAAAAGCCAGAATTCTTTGGGAAGCAATAAAGAGACCATCCGCCCTGGCCCAGGGATGATTGTTAAAGCCACTCATGGGGCAGGCAGCTCATCTGTGGAGGTCACTGTACCCTGCTCTGCCTGCCCGCCTCCCAGTGACCCAAAGGGAAGCCCTTGGCCTCTGAGCAGGCAGCTCTGCCTGCAGATATACACTTGCCTGTGCTGTCGTGTGCACATATATTGGGGTAGAACGCCACAAGAGAGGGAGGCAGACTAGGCAAAGGCCTAGGTGGAGGGCAGAACATGAGGATAAAGCGAGCGGAGTCAGGCCAAGACTCAAACATAAACAATAAAAACCAGTGGGGGGAACAAGTGTCTGGGCCACAGAAACTCGGAGACAAAGACATCAGGAACTGTATCCAGCTCCCTGCATTTGGCTGGCATTATCTGCCTGGGCTCAGGGCGGTCAGTTAATAAGGTAACTAATCAAGCCTTAACCTGATACTCATTCCTGGGAACTGTTAGCATGAGCTGTTGTTCCATGTATGGGGCGGGGTAGGTGGCAAGCGCCCTGAGGTAAAAGAGAAAGACACTGCCTGCAGCATGTGGGCCAGTGGGAGCTGGGCTCTAGCTGCAAGTGACCTGTCCCTATCCCTCTTAAGGTCTGTGTCTCTACCTCTGAGTGGGTGAATTAGTTTACTTCTAAGGGAGACTCAAGGAATCTGTGTCTGTAAGAGTCAGCATGGGAAAGTGTTTAGGTGGTGGCTGCCCTAAGTCAGGGACAGAAGAAATTCTCTGCTGAGGTCTGCAGCAAATTGGAGGAGTCAGGACACACGGGGGACAGACAGACTTTGGGCAAGTCACATAAGATTGCCGGAACTCAAAATCATTTGTCACTGAGTGCCTGGCCAAAATCATTAGGGCTTTGCGGGCAGCAGTAGGGATGGTGGGAGGACTCAGGAGCCCGGGGGTCACAGTGACATTTCACACCTCGGATGACCTACGACCTATCAGGCTTTCTAGTCTACACTCATGAGGTCATCATGTTCCTTGATGTGTCTTGTTTTCAAAGGCACTGGCCTGGTGGCCTGGGTGCTGGGGCAACCTAAGATGGGTGAGAGCTGTCCTCAGCTGTTGCAGCCCCAGGCTAGGGGCGCCAGGAGGAAGCTGGAGTTGAGATCTCACAGTGTCAGCAGAGGCCAGGCTGAGCAGAGATTTCTGGCTTCTTGAAGCTCAGTAGGAATGAGCACCGTCGGGGCCCCAGGCCTGAGGGATAGATAGCAGGGATATCCCAGGTATGCCCAACAGGAGCCTAGAAGCTTGGGAGTCCAGACGTGTTCCTTTCAGTGAGGAAGCCCGGGCTAGCCTGTTCTACAGGCTTTCTCATTGGGTCCCTTCCCTTCTTCATTAGCATCCTCTTTTGGTTCTGCAGGGGATGTGGAGGAAGAGAGAAGGAGGGGGTCTTTAGGTCTGATGTCTGGCCCCTCCTGGCAGTGGAACTGAAGGCAGGTGATAATCCACTCCCCAGCTGTGGCTCTAATTCTGACATCCCTCTCCTTGCTCAGGGAGATGACGATGGATGAGCTATCACCATATTTTAAACTACAGTGTCAGGACAGCCAAACCTGTCCGTACCTGGGTTCCGAAGCTGACACTGGACTCCAACCCTGACTGTACTACTTTTGAGCTGTGTAACCTTAACCAAGTTACTCTGCTTTTAGCCTCTGCTTCTTCATCAGAGAATTCTAACATGCTTGAGAGCCGCGGTGAGGACTGAACCTACTGCCCCCGGGAAAGCATGCAGAACCATGAGAAGAGCAGCATCTGTCTCGCACCAGTGAGCGTGAGCACACACCAGGCCCAAGAGCAGAAGGGAGACAGGTTTTCACCTAAGGAATGCCACACTGATGGGCAGCTTTCGATACCTGTTCAAAATGATGCCAGGATATGGTAGGTGTGCCTTCCATGGCCCCATGTGCCAATACTGCCCATTTTGCCTGAAGTGTGGGTGTGTTCATTCAGAACAGAACTAGAAGGGGTCCATGAGGCCTAAGGCTGTGAGGCTCACAGGCAGATCTGGTTTCCCAGTGACTTGATAAATGACGGAAGTGAGAGTGAGAAAGAGAAGCCATGTGCCCACAGTATCCAGCTTCTGTGTAGGGCCATGATCAGCTCATAAACCCGCTAATCCTTCCCTAGTGTCTTGTTTCACAGGTCAATGTGCAGAGCAAGTATGGTACAGGCCCGTGCTACCTGCCTCTCTGCTCTGGCTGACTTGAAATCTGTGATTTCTCTCCGAGATTTAATAATCATTTTGCCTACATGTAATTTGGGATTGTCTTGGAGTGCAGAGAAATAATTATATACACAGAAGAAAAGAGGGGGAGAAAGGAGAAAGAACCAGAAAAATCTCTAAGCCTGGGGGGGGGTCTAGAGAGACACTACCTGTGCTATTGCGCTTGCTGACAGGGAAACTGAGGCCAAGCACCTGAAAAGAGCTGAGTTAAAGTCAGAAGTGGAGTCCTGACTCCTGGGTCTGGCGTCTTATAAACAAGACTAATCTGTTTCAGAGGGGCCAAGAGTGGGTGCCTGGGAGGGAGGACAAGACTGAGAAGAACCTAGCTCCTGTTCCAAGAGTATCCCCAGCCTCTGTCTTGCTCTCAGCCTTGCCCACCAACAGGGACTTCCCACCAGCGCCGCCTCCAGGCTCTGCAGTAGATTTCCTCATCAGCATCAGGACCACATCACCCCTCTGCCTCCAACCCTTCCCTGTTCCTCAAACTTCTGAGCCTTCCAAGCGCCACCCCCTTTCCCCTCCAGCAAGTGGCCTCCCCCTCATCTCTGCACATTTTACAGAGCTGGAGCTCCAGCTGCCACTGGGCTCACCTGGTGTGCCCTCCCTCCCACCATCCATCCTCACTTCCTGGAAGAACCCAGCTGAGGGCGGTGTTGGTCACAGCTATACTTCTATGCGTGTATGTTGTGATGTGGTTGATGTCCGCCTCCCTACTAGACCCTAAGAGAGGGCAAGGCTTGGTCTGTTTCACCTACTATTGTGCCCGTGGCTTGACACAGATACTGGCCCACTCTATAAACACAGCTATAGATCACCTGAAAGAAGACTGGGAGGCCTCTTTGTTATAGACCTGGACCATCAGTACTGGCTGAACTCCCTTCAGATGAATGCATGCATACATGCTTGTGTCAAGTGTGTGCGTACATGCATGAGCACATGTGTGCATATATGTGCATGTGTGTGTGTGCATGAGTGGGTGCACATCCCCTGAGGCCCAACAGCCAGTGCTGAGGGACCCAGAGTCCCAGACCCAGTGTCCCCACTCCTTCCTTCCCTCTTTCCCAACTCCCTGGGCAGCTGGTTACATAACTGGGGATCCTGCATTATTTATGACCACTGATTATTTTTTAATTCTGTGATTACATTGTTTATTATCTTCCTGGGGGGCTGTGGCATTGGGGAGATGGGGAGTGAGCTGACCATGATTCATGGCTCTCATCCTGCAGTTTGGCCTAATTGGCTAGGGAGCCTCTGTGGATCTGTCCAGAGGAGGAGAAGGCAAAGGGAAAAGGGAGGAAAGGAAGGCCTGAAAATAATAATAATAATAATAAAAAAAATCCACCCAAGTTGTATTGAGCTGCGGGTACCGAGCTGACCCACTTTGGCACAGCCCTGTGGTCCCAAGTTTTTCCTGCCCCAGCTGCTTTCTGGTAGGCCACACTTACTTAGCTCTCACCAGCAAGGTCTGTGGCTTTCCCTGCCATCTTTACACATGGAACCTGACTGATGGACAGCTGGGAAACAGGCTGCCACAGAGCCTGCTTTCTATGCAAACCAGGTTGCAGGACCCTCCACCGCCACCTCAGACTGAGGACAGGCTGTGCCTACCCCGTTCTCCTGAGGTTTTGGGGATATAGGGATGACAGCATCCTTAAGTTAGATTCTACTCAAGACTCACTGATGATCTGGGGGTACAGGTGGTCAATAAAGGATCACTTCTGAACCCCCATGGGTCAGGAAGAAACAAGTACATGTTCAAAGGGAGCTCAAAATCTGATGGGCCAAAGATGAGGACCCTTCACCATGCCTGAGGGAGCTCTGAGTCTGTGGGCAGCAGTGGGAACGGTAGGAAGGCAGTCTCACCCAGAAATGTAACCAAGATGCATTAAAAATGTGTGGGCTTCTCGCTGACAGCAAACACGAGTTCCACACTCGGATGCACAGGCTCCATGGGACACTCTCCCTTGCCCCACCCCTACACCTCTGTCCCCCTCTGCTCTACTTTCTACTGGCTTCCTGATGATCCCGTACATTTCCTCCTCCCGACCCTGGTGGCACAGCTCCAGCCACCTGCAATGCTCTTCCCCCTAGATGCCTGCGGACCTCGTCCCTCATTTCTGTGCATCTGGGCTTTAAAACCACTGTAGAAGAGCCCCTTAGTACTACCTCCATCCCTGCAGTACTCTCTGGGCAGGGGATGGAACTACTTTTCTGCAGGGGACCTATTAGAGGTTTCTACCAGGCAGCCAGGACCTGGCCCTGATCTCCCTGCTTTTGACTAAAAAAGTTTATGTGACTCTAGAAAACAAGACTGTGCAGGGAAGTAACAATACCCCGTGGGTGGCAGAGCCCTAGCTCCATGGGAGAACATCTGCCTCACATGTATTAGGACCTAGGCTTGATACCTAACACTGCAAAGCAAAAACAAAACGGATATGGAGCTGGCTTTGTGCATATAAGGGAGCATAGAATGAGTTGGTATCTTCCTCTTACAGATGAGCCAACAGAAGCACAGAGAAGCAAAGTAACTTTCCGAAGTTCGCACAGCTCAGGAGGCAGCTGTACTAAGGACTGAACCAGAAATCTCTGGCTGTCTGACATGTGCTCCTTTCCCCTGGGATAGTCTATGTCTCTAACTGAGATCCATGGAATCTGGGGAGCTTAGGGAGCCCGCTGTGATTGGCCTGGCATCCTGGGGTATTGGGGAGCCTGGGAGAAATGAGGGCTAATTAATGTCTGACTATCATGTCACATCCCTGGGCAGTTCAGCTTCAGCTTTCACAGTATGTTTGCATTCCTTACCTCACTTTGTCCCCACCCCCGACCCAGGGAGCTTCAGCGTGGGTTGGGAGGATGGGGAGAGGGAACTCCAAATCCTCTGGAAGTGTGAGAAGGTATTGGCCCTCCTCCTTCATGGGAAGCCTCCAAAAACCTTGCAGTATCACTGGGAGGGACGACTCATCCTCATCCATAGCCCATTCAGAGAGGAGCAAAGGGAGACTCAGGGAGCAGGCTTTGGTGGCTTTCCTCTTCTGGTTAGTTTCAGGCTTTGTGCTCAGGTGTGTGTGTGTGTGTGTGTGTGTGTGTGTGTGTGTGTGTGTGTGTGTCTCTGTGTGTGTGTGTGTGTGTGTGTTTGGAATCAGAGGTGTGTCAGGCAGGGAAGAGGAGGTACAGGCAGGAGGGTGGTGAAGAGAGGACAGAGAATGGCAGAGCCTGCTCTTTGCTGCCTAGCTCCTTCAACAAGGTTCCTGTGCAGTATCCCCGCCAACCCTGTGTGTAACTCTAGTCTCCATACTCCAGAATTTGGTCTGAGCTGGCGGAAATGAGCAGGTGCGGCCCAGGGAGTTGGGTATGATGAGGGAATAGGGGCTTGTTCACTTTATCATGGGCCTACCTGTAGCCCTGATGGCGAAACACCACAAAGGGCCTGATTGGAGCCAGACAGATCAGCTTTATGTCCTCCTGAAGGACCTAGAGCTACATTACAAGTTTGAAGCCAGGACCTGATATCCACAGATACTCCTGTCCCCAACAAACCCCAGCCCAGAGAAAGTTGGTTATGACAGCTCTTCTGCTTGGGTCTCCCTTCCTCTTTGCCTATCACTCTATGTACACATCTACTTTCTGGGGGACTAGGGAGCTCTGAGGCTCAACCCCCCACCCAGCTGGGTACCATTGGCAGCGGGCAGGCAGTGGCATACGGGGTAGACTCTGGTTTCCATAGCAACCTGCCAAAGTCTTGGGTGGAGACACATGGCCTACAGATGTGGGGGAGGGGACTCATCACTTTATCCTGGTTCAGACCTCTCCTGTGTACAGACTGTCACCTGGAGCTCTGGGGTGAGAGGCGCGGGAATCAGTGTGTAGAAAATGGAAGATGGGGGGCATTTAAAAAGCTCCACAAATTAACCCTGGCTCTTGGGCATCACATCACAAGCATCAAGCATCTTTGGAAGCTTCTGTCAAAATGCTGAGATTACACAATAGCCCACCTGCTGAAGCTTCAAATAGGCACTGGGAATCTTGAGATCCAGGTTCAATTCTGTCATGGGTGGGTTGTGCAGCCTTGGGCAAGCCCCTATTCCTCTCTGGACCCCAGTTTCTTCCACAGGAAGTGGACAGAGTTTGCCTGGACTAACTGTGAGATCCCTTCAAGTTCTGGATGATTATGCTGAGGGAGAAGAGGCAAGGGCCTACCCCACTAGGAGTTATACCAAGGCTGACTTCCAGGATTATAGACAATACCAGCTCTGGTTGGGGTCCCATGACCCTGCCTGAGACCAAGATTTTGGATAGTTCTCAAGGCCCCGATTAAACCACAGAGGATCCAGAATAAGACAGGGTAGGAGAGGACAACCTAATCCTTTGGACTCATGAAGTCAGAGGCAGGGTTGTTCAGGGACCTGTGGCCTTTGGCTTCCAAATTGTATTATGGAGTCTAGACCATAACAGCCCAGCTTACGGGCAGGAGCACCACCACCTCTACCTCTGCCTGCCTGAGGCACCCGCCATCCCTACATCTGGAGGCAGGACCTCCTGGCAGGTCTCATGAGGCAGACCTTGGACGCCCAAGGTCTACTCTAACAGGCCTGGCATCTCTGTCACCCTCCAACTCACAGCCTCCCTTCAAAGAAGGAACCCCTCTCCGAGTCTTGAATCAGGTCAGGTTGGAAAGCCACATTGCTTACAGCCTGCTCCATCTCCACAGCCTTCCAAAGCCCTCTCTCCCGATACGCAGCTGGTGGGGAATTTTGGGTTCATAACTCAGAATGATCCATTCTGCTTCCATCTCTGCAGGGGCCCTGGTTACAAGGAGTTGAAAGTTGTCTAAAGCCCACCTGGCTGTTGAAATGGGACCCAGCGGGCAAATTCAGGCCAGCGGCTCAGAACGCTGGTCATGCATTTTGGACTTGAACACAGCCCAGGGGGCAGGGTGGAAGACATGTGTACCTCATTACTCCAGCAATGTGGGAAGCAGTAATTAAACTGGGCTTCGATTAGAAAGCCAGAGGGGGCTTCTCGGTGACTTTTTGGTCTTTGCAAAAACCATCCAGAAGCATGCCTGTGGGGTGGGGGGGGCACATATGCATAAAAGATCTCTTCTTTAACGTCCAGGACCTCTGATCCCCACCCACACTTTCCAGTCACATCCTTACCCTAGGACAGGGAGGCCACAACTGGTTTTAACCCCCTCCCCTTTTGGAAATTAAGGTTTGGAGTATCTGTGTGATCCTGGAAGGAATACTGGATCTCAAACGGTGGGGATTGGTTAAGGTGAGCCATCCACACGCTCCTAGAGCCCTTGCTCAGAGTCTGGGAGGTAAATAGTGGGGTCAAAGGACAGCTCTGGTTTTTGAAGAATGTGTCCCACTAAGAGTGGAGTGGGGCAGATTTAGTCCTCATTGGACACCCTGAGTGCTAACGATAGAGCACTGGCACCTGCTCAAACAGTCACCACCACACGAAGGCCCCACCAGCTCTAGGGACAGTAATTTTTAGCAAAACAGACTTGAGGAAAGAAGAATGAGAAGGGTGGGCCTCTGTGGAACATGCCATGTGCACATAGCATTGCACACTCAAGCACACATAAATGTTTTGATGCTGAGCCCAGTCAAGCAGGGCTAGGGTCTGTGTGCCCCCCATTCTCCCCACCTTGCTGCCTCTCACTCACCTCCCTCAGCTCCTTAGCCACTTCTTTGAGTTCCCTCAGGATGCCTTCAAGTTGCCCGATGACCATCTTCATGCGCTGTCGAATCCGCTCTCTCTCTCCACCGCTGTTGGGGTCGTCACTGGGCTGCCCGAGGTCCGGGGCACCCCGAATGTTCATCCTTCACCACGTGGCCGCAAGCCTGCCCATACTCGCCCCAGCGGGGCACACGCTTTGCCTGCCTCCACGGAGCCCCCCTCGGCCGGGCAGAGCTCCACATTTTAACGGCCCCCCAGCCTACCCTGGCCTTGGGCGGCCCTCACCCAGCTCCTGCAGCCTGCCACTCGACCTACTCTGCCTCTGGGTGGGGGATGGAGCACCCAGAGGGAGACAGAGTCTGACGGGGGGGGGGGCGGGGGGTCAAGGTGAGGACACAAGAGGGCAAGGGGAGGGACCTTAGGGCCCAAGAACAGCTTCCAGGACTTGAAGAGCCTGTGGTGTACAAAGCTGATCTTTGCCTGAATCTGGGTGTGGAGGCAGGGGGATGATTCTGCAAGGACTAGGGTAAGAGATGCCCTTGGGATGGGGGAAGGCAGCAATCCCCTCACAACTCCTGGGCAGTTACAAAGGCAGAGGTCTCTAGATGCAGCCGAACCTGCAGAGGGACGGTGGTCAGGTTCTTCCAGATGTGGAGGGGGCTCCAGATGTGAACAGCGCTGGAGAGGGACTTGGATTGGAGGAGGGCAGCCCCCTGCAGAAAGAGCGAGCCTGGCGTCAGCCCTCCCAGGCTGCTGCACCAGCCTGCTGCTGTTGCCTCCCTCTTCTCCCTTGCCTGCACCCTCCTTCCTCGCTGGAGATTTATTTATTTATTTTTGTTTGTGGGGAGGGATGGTGGAGGCAGATGGTTTTCAGCACACCCCTCTTCTATAGAGAGAGCGGAGGAGCCCCTGATTTAGAGGCATAAGTCCTCAGCCTCCTCTGGGGCACTCTAGCTATGATCGTTCCTACCCCCAACCCCCCAGCCACCAACCAAGCTTGGCCAGACTGGTTCAGCACAGGGCCTCTCCAGTCCTCCATCCTTCTTTCAATGCCCACAGGGTGCCCTCCTTACCAGCGGACTCTTCCTCCCCCAGCCCCGCCTTCCCTCGGAAGCTGGACTCTCCGACTTACAGAGGATGGGGGCACCGGTCTTTCCTCCAAGCAGCGTCGGGGGCCGAGCCCCAAGACGAGGTTGGGGGGCCCCCAAGGCTCCCCTAGGGCGGACTTCTCTCTCTGGACCCTTCGGCTCCTGGCCTCAGGAAGGTCCTCCGAGCGGTGACCGGAGACATCTGGGCGGTGGGAGGGGGCGGGGCCTCTGCACTCCGGGGAAGAGGGCAGGAAAAATCTCCCACCACGCCCGCCAGGCTCCGGGTTGCAAGGGTCCGGTGGGCTCGGGGGCCCCGAGGCCACAGGTGACCCGGGCCGAGGCGACGCCGGTCGGGTCCGGGCGACAGAGCCAAAGTCGGAGGGCTGGGGAGGGCGCCGGGATCCCCTCAGCCCACACCCGGCATTCCCCGGGCTCCGCAGGGTTCTCGATTCTCTCTGTCCAGTCCAGTTCGGCGGGTCTGGGGCCCCTCCGGGGTCTGTCCTGCCCCTAGTTTGCCTTGCCCTTTTCGAGCTGGTATTGACAGGCGTCCGAGGTGCACTCAGTCGGGACCCAGAATGTCAGTGCTCCGGCCCGGGCGGCGTCCGGAGCGGCCGGAGAATCCGCTTAGCCTAGCCCGGCAGTCGGCTCGATCCACGATGAGGAAAGTCCGGATTCTTTCGAGTCCCGGGGGAGGGGCGGCGGCAGTGGTATGGGGGACCGGTGTCCAGCACAGCGGAGATGAGCGCACGAGGTCTAGGGACCTCGGCACGGCGTGGCTGAGCAGAAGAAGCAAAGGAGAGCAGAGGGGGTGAGCGAGGCGCCAGGGAGGCGAT